GTTCTTGAAGAGCTACTCGGAGAAGGTGTAATGAGAATGATTACCGCGTTTTTTATTATAACGCCCTGAAAAAGAATTAAAAATAAATGTAGAGAATTATTTGGAAATTTTTTGGCAGGCAAGGCTGATGCGATGAATAAATTAATTGTTTACTTCGATTGATTTAGTGTCGGATTTTTGAAGAGCTACTCGGAGAAGTTGCAACGAGAATGATTATCGATTGTTTCTATAACGATCTGTAAAAGATTTACGGATAATTAAGGGGTGCGGTTTTTAACTTAATTGTTCGATTTGACGGATTTAAAGTCGAGTCCTTGAAGAACAACTTGTGGTAATTGCAGTGAGGCGAATGATAATCAATTATTTGAGTTATCTGGTAATAATATTTTGAACAATATTTATGCATAAACGTGGAAGACAGTTTTAAGGTGACTTTTAATTTAATTACTCACTTTGTTTGTTTCAGAGCCGAGTTCTTCAAAAGTTACTCGCAAAAGTTGCAACGAGGCATATCATTATCGAGTTTCCAATAACAATGTCCAGAAAGAACTTCCCAAATCTACTTGTAGAACAGCTTTCAAGTATGGAAGGCATGTAACGTTTAATTTGATTTTACCTTTCATCGAATTTAATTCCCAAAGAGCAACTCAAGAAAGTCGCAACGAGGCGAATTATTAGCGAATTTGTTTCAATCCCCTAAACAAGGTATAAACATAAATAAAGGAGACAAAGCTGATACGATTATTAACTTCCTTTTTAACTTCCGACTTTTTATATTCAAAGCCTTGAAGAGCTACTCATAGGAATTGCAACGAGACAAATCATTGTCCAAGTTTTGGTAACAATGTCCAAAAAGAACTTGCAAAATCCATTTGTACAACAGATGTTAAATGTGGGAGATCGACGTGATCTTTAAATTAAACTTTTAACATTCCATCAGTCTGAGCAAAATTTCCCGAGATTTGGATCGCGAAATTGCAACGAAACTTAGAATGATTAGGGAATTCCCAGTAACAACTTTCTGGAAAAAAAAGTTCGTACGTAATCATGGGAGGCAATGATGCTGATGAGACTTTTAACTTAATCGTTTACATAGATGGCAATCGATTGTACATCGAATACCGAGATGTGCGTCCGTGTACAATGATAGGTCGAACGATTTACTGCACGCGATATTTGTACCCTAGGTAGTTAGGGCAATTTTAGGTCCTCGAGTATCATCTAAAATGGCTCCACAAATTGCCTCGGGAGAACCGAGACGTAGATTTTCGCAGCTTTCTAACGATAATTCGAGGAATTTCCTCCTTTTACTGCGAACTTCAGTTTTGGATGTCGTTTCTTCAGCGAGTACAGAGAGCGACGTACAAGAACAAACAACGAGGGAACATCGAGAGCTCGAAATCGACGGTCACTATTTTCCATGAAATGCGCGATTTCTTGGGGAAAAAAAAAAAAAAAGTAGAGAACGGAACGTTACATTTGAGAAATTGTAGAATGAAACGTGAAGAATCATACACTATTCGTAGAAACTTAAGGGGAAATTATCGGGAAATTAATTGTCAATAGAGTTATCATACGACTAGAAGAGTTGCACCCTAAAATCCCTTCTTGAAGGAACAGACTATTGCAATATTATAACAAATTATAAACATGTCCGTCTTATTTTCATCATAGAACGGTATATTAAAAACGACACGAAAGACTGAAAAATTGGAATATGAATTCCTTCTAAATATTAATGTTCAATGAATAATCCTTATTAAAGTGAAAGGAACTCAGGCAAAGGAACGTTTCAATAAGAAACAAATTATTATAATAGACTATAACAAATTATCAGTCCATCCATGTAAGTTTTACTACAGAACATAACATCGATATAGATATATAATCCATCACCAGCTAAACTGATAGGTAATTTTTCTCTGAAATTTCCTTCTTAACGATTCTTATCAAACCAAAACAAAAACTCATCCCAAAATATTACTTTTCAAGAACCACCTATTAAAATAAATTATAACAAAATTTAATGTTCTCGTGATTTTTACTGCAGAACAAACACTAATAACAACACATAATTCATCAGCAAAATAGAAAGATAATAGCTCTCTAAAATTTCCTTCTTAACAATCTTCATGAAACTAAAAGAAACTCATCTCTAAATATTTTTCATGGAACAAATAGTACTTCTTTTTAATAGATTTTATAAAAATTGTACAAAATTATATGTCCGTTCGTGTGATCGCTCCTGCAGAACGGAACATCAATAACAACACATAATTCATCATCAGCAACATTGAAAGCTAATAGCTCTCTAAAATCTCCTCCTTATCAATCTTCATGAAACTAAAAGAAACTCATCCCTAAGTATTCTTCACGGAACAGAATATTATTTCTACGTGGAAGAAAATATCACTTCTTTTCAATATACCATAGAAAAATGATACTAAATCCTATGTCCGTAATTCTCAGAGTGGCGCGAGGTTAATCAGGGACGGCGCCGAAAATTCGAGCTCTCGGGTTCCCCGAGACGAAGCATTCCTCAGCATCGCAAGCCTGAGCCGAGCCTCTCACCGATGATGGGAGTGACGGTGTAAAGAAGCGGCCTGCGCCATGTCCTCGAAGATCCGTCGAAGCGGAGTAATGTCGCTCGGAAATAGCGGTGGTCGCCATCGCCTATGAGCGCTGCAACGACCAGGACGATCAGGCGAGTCCTTTTTCCTTTTGCGCTCCGACCTCCTTTGGAATCGCCCCTCGACAAGGTTAACACTTTGACGCTTAACCATTGGTTCCAGTAACGCGTTCCCGGTAGAAGAGAGGATCCAGGATCCAGGAAAAGGAAGAAAGAACCGAGGCAAGACCTCTTGAAAAGAGGCCATTTTTCTAACGCACGCGAAGACGGTGAAACGGGCGGAAGAATTTCAAAACTACCGATCTTACGATCATCTCGTAAATTTACAAACATTTTCTTAACAATGTATAGTTGCACCAGAAACGTTACTTTATAACTCTACGAAAGAGGTAGAAGAGAGGATCCAGGAAAAGGAAGAAGGAATCGAGGCAAGACCTCTTGAAAAGAGGCCATTTTTCTAACGCACGCGAAGACGGTGAACCGGCCGGAAAAATTCAAAACCTCCGGACTTACGATCATCTCGTAAATTTACAAACATTTTCTTAACAATGTATAGTTGCACCAGAAACGTTACTTTATAACTCTACGAAATTCAGAAGGTATGCATACGAGAATTCCAATTCTTCCGTCCATGTGTATGGAATTTAGAATTTTGATACCCACACGGATGAAATTTGGAATTCCTTATCACATCCTCGTGGTCGGTGCAATTGTATTATTGCCTTTAGAAATTAGCATATTTACCCCTTTTAGTGCCGAACAACGATATATCGTCGTTTTTCAAGTGCTGATGACTTCGGTCGGCACTAAAAGGGTTAAAGCTCAGCTTTTGCCTCGTTCTCGTTTCACTCCACTTCGTCTTCGACATCATTTTGACAAAGAAATATATAGGTATCTTATCATTGTACCAACGAACAGATTCGTGTTCTAAAGATACCTCCAGATATCGACTCGATTTTCAATAGGGCAGAAGTTCCCAATTATGCAGACCCTAACGAGATCCTCTTTCCAGCATCCGGACCGTTCTCGACTGAACTCCTTCCAGGACCCCCTCCGATCGCTTTGGAACCAAATCTCGCAGTCAAAGGGTTAACCACCGATATATCGCTGATACCCAAGAGTACCGAAATGGGAACCCGAGCCCTGAAGAGATCGTCTCCAGGGAATTTCCCTCATCTCGTCTCACCTTCTGACAGCGTGGACCGGCTCGGAGTCGCTCAGCTCCAGGTCGCTGTCGACGTGCATTCGCTCCCCCCAGGTGGCTTTCAAGTAGGAGACCCTCCTGGTGGCTCTGTCTTCGTCACCTGTAACAGAAGGAAGGGGCCTAAAAAAATGATCTCTCACTTCCCGGATTTACGGACACGTGCTGCGAGATGCCAGAAGCTAGGGTCCACGTTTACGGGATGTACTTACTGATCTGCGAGTTCTTCTGCCGTCTGAGGACAACTCCGTTGGTGGATAGGTCTGACGATGCAGGGGCTGCAAGAAGCGGACGAGCAGGCCGTTAAACACACAGGCGTGTATGCAGGAATTGTCAAAATGGGCTCAGGAGAAAGAAGATGCGATCTTTTAGACGAGGTTCCGAGAGCACGATGGAAAGGAAGAAGTAGAAAGCGAAGCGCATTTTCCAACACCTGGGGAGATATTCCTAGAGAAGACTAGGGAGCTGAAGAGGGTAAGTTATCGGAGGAGGGAAAAGGGAATTTATCATTTTCCAACACCTGGGTGGATCTTCTTCGGGAAAACTGGGGACCTGAAGAGGCTAAATTATAGAAGGCAAAAGCTACGGGAAATTCACCAAGGATTTGGAGGAATAGGGAGCGAGAAAAAGCTGCGGAAAATTCAATTAGAAATTGGAAAAATGGGGATTGAGGAACACTTTCCGACACCTGGGTGGATCTTCTTCAGAAAAACTGGGGAGTTGAAGAGGGTAAATTATCGGAGAAGGGAAAAGCTGTGGAAAATTCGATTAGAAATTGGAAGAATGGGGAGCATAGAACACCTTCCGACACCCGGGTGGTTCTTCTAGTTGAGTGTGGAGAATTTGATAATTGCAATTTATTTGGGAAAAGAAAACCTGCAGAAAATCAACTGAAGGTGGAAGCGAAATACACCTTGGAACACCTGGGAGGATATTCTTAAAAAATGTTGGGGACACGAAGATGATAAAGTACATCAGCAAGGAAAAACTACAGAAAATATTACGACACCCTTAAAACAGTGGATACGTAATTCATAGTGGGTAGACGTGCTTTCGGAAGAAGTTGCATGCAGTTAAATTTTCGATTTTCAGTTGTTTAATTGTTTAATTAATAACCATACTCGGAAAATTCGTCGATAAGCTTCGAGTTAGTTTTAATGTTTGTTACAATTTTTGTTTGGAATGGGGAGAATTTCGAGACTGACCTAGGACCTGCTCAGGGTATTTTGTTAATGGGATTAGTCCGTTGACGAGTAAATGCATTCTCAGTAGAATTATTCAGAGGGGAAGCCACAGGTGTACCAATCACCCATTGTGCCCTTGAATTGCCCATTAAACCATTGAATCAACGATCCCATTCGAGCGGTTTAGTTAAGCCCCGAATTAGTTTTGGCTTTTGCTAACCATTCCCTTTTCAGAAGGTTGAATCGAGAAAATAACAACACATTCACAAGATCCTTGGTTAATGAAATTAGTACGTTAGTAAGTAAAGTTACATTACGGTAGACTTCTTCGGACAGACATTGAAGAGCCGCAGGTTTCTTAATCGACCATTAAACCACTTACTCGATGAGCCCATTCGCGTCGATTAGTTTAGTCTCGAGTTAATTTCGACATTTGTTAAAAATTCCTTTTTAAAGAGCTCGAAATACGAGGCTGACCTAATTGTTACAGGTATTAACACGTAGAAATTTTTCCGTTAATACAATCAGTACATCCGTTAGTAAACGCATTTACGGTAGAATTACTTAAAGCTGGTACCATTCAGCCCTTGCATAATCCACCAAGCAATTAAATCAACGATCCCATTTAAATCGTCCAGTTTAGCTTCTGATTAGTTTTAATCAGAAGCTAAACTGGACTCTTAAAGGATGGAAGTCATCTAGCACTTGTATAACCCATCGATCCCATTCAAATGGTTTAGTTAAGCTTCTGGTTAGTTTTGACTGATGTTACAAATTCCTGTTCGAAGGAGGCGAATTTCGAGGTTGATCCAATACTTGCACAGAGTCTTTTGTTAATGGGATTAGTCCGTCGGCGAATAAATGCATATTCAGTAGAATAATTCAAAGGTGGAAGCCACTGGGTTCACCGATGAACCATCGAGCCCTTGCATAACCCATCGATCCCAATCAAGTGGTTTAATTAAGGTTCTGGTTAGTTTTAATCGTTGTTAAAAGTTCCTGATCTAAGGAGGCGAATTTCGAAGTTGATCCAATACTTGCACAGAGTCTTTAGTTAATGAGATTAGTCCGTAAGCGAATAAATGCGTTTTCAGTAGAATCCCTAAAAGATGGAAGTCATCGAGCCCTTGCATAACCCATCGATCCCAATCAAGTGGTTTAATTAAGGTTCTGGTTAGTTTTAATCGTTGTTAAAAGTTCCTGATTGAAGGAGGCGAATTTCGAAGTTGATCCAATACTTGCACAGAGTCTTTTGTTAATGGGACTAGTCCGTCGGCGAATAAATGCATTTTCAGTAGAATTATTCAAAGTTGGAAGCCACAGGGTTCACCGATCAACCATCGAGCCTTTGTATAACCCATCGAGCCATTGTATAACCCATTGAGCCCTTGTATAATCCATCGATCCCATTCAAGTGGTTTAGTTAAGCTTCTGGTTAGTTTAGACCGATGTTAAAAATTCCTGTTTGAAGGAAGCGAATTTCGAGGTTGATCCAATACTTGCACAGTCTTTTGTTAATGGGATTAGTCCGTCAGCGAATAAATGCATTTTCAGTAGAATCCCTAAAAGATGGAAGTCATCGAGCCCTTGCATAACCCATCAAGCCATTAAATCAAGGATCCCATTCAAGCCGTCTAGTTTAGCTTCTGGTTAGTTTTCACGGTTCACTAAATCAACGATCCCATTCAAGCCTTCTAGTTTAGCTTCTGGTTAGTTTTCACGGTTAAAAATTCCTTTTTTAAGGGGGCGAATCGGGGGGCTGACCTAGTGCCTTGGCGGGGTCCTCGGGGACGTCCAGGTTGGGCTGAGCAGGTGCCAGGTGGTGGTTCTGTCCTGCGGTCGCGTCGGAGCCCGAGGGTCTCAGGGGGTTCGGGATGGACAGACGATTCGGCCTGACCGGCTGGGGAGGACTGACGGTCACCCTTGGGCTCGTCTTCGGGGTTTCGGGAGCGGGCAGGGCGTCCGAGATCGTCGAGGGGAAGAGGGGTGCGTTGGGCTCGTCGCTTTTCGCCTCGTCCCTTTCCGAAAACGCATCTTGCCCGCGCAGGTTCTGCGGCTCTCGTTCTGCTCCGCGCGCGCAAAAAAAAAGAAATATCGTCAACTATTTTCGTTAACTCAGATGCTGGAAATGTATTCCGATGCATCGGAAATAGTTGCTGTCCTCAGGACGTAAATCTGGGACCTCGGGATTTCCAATTAAGGTGAAGTGAAACCCCCTTCAAATCAGTCGATTTAAATACAACACTCTTCTTTAACACTAGGTTTACGGGACCCGTCAATTTGACGGAATTCAAACTTCGAAAAGAAATACCGAAAAAACCATAGCATTAATTTTAACTATTTTTGTATCGTAAATTAATCATTTCATCCAAAGAATTTGTACACGCAATTATTTTTTCCTAAGCCTTCTAATTATTAAAATCTGTATGTAGTATACCTATCTCTACGAAACTCGTCAAATTGACGGACTAGCTAATTTCATAAACAATCCATATATATTTGCCTCGTTGCAGGGAGTGTAAGGCGAAGATGAGAGTGAAAGTTTGCATTGAAAGTGGAGAAATAGAAGGATCTTCGGATAGTGAAGAGGAAAACTTCTTGAAAGGGTGTCGTAGCAAGAAAAGGATGCGCGTTCTTTCTAGTTCTGACTCCGAGGATGAGAAGACGAGCATTCCAATCATTTCCGTGATAATTTTTAAAAAAGGACTTTTTACTTATTAATCATTTATTTAAACGTAAAGCCTAGTGTTGTTTAATACAGACTTAATTTGAATGAATCGATTTTTTAAAGAAAATGCGTGTTTTCGTTTACCCGTCAATTTGACGGGTGCTCGTGGAAACAGGTATATAAAAAACGCCCGTAAACCTAGTGTTAAGGGTATTAAACCAAACTGTCCGAAACTTTGACACATCACTCCTGATCATCTAAGAATTGTTCTGACACATTCAACATTTTGGTTCCTTTTTTTTTTTTTAACTCAGTCCAGACCAAAACGCGCCAAATGAGCATAATATTATTTTACATGTACGCGTTTTGTTTTAGAAAAATCAATGAAAGCGACGATTCACTGTACATAAGGGACAAAATTCTTCGCATTTTCGAAATTCAAATAGGATAAGTACGTCTCATTAAACGCGATCCATAAATGTGCGCTGATAAAAATGCCCATGTAAATTTTCATACTCAATCATAGGTTATTCCGATGCCGCTTTAAATTACAGTAAAATTACATGTCTCTGTAATATCACATTCCGCATCCGAGTTAAATCATAGAAAATCACAAGATAATATTACATTAAATTAAGGTAAAAATTCCCCAATACGGTAAACATACAATGTTAAGTACGTTTACACGCTTTCTAATTTGCAATTCTTCCATTTTAGGTTTTTCAACGTGAAACTCAAGTTACGAAGTATGTAAAGATGTATGCAAATTTCCATGGATTTTTATCCGCGTGGGAAAGTCAAGAGTAGGTAAAATGTCGTCTAAAAACATCATTTACATTTTGCAAATACGTTCTGCAGCGAAATCGGTGAAAGTGACGATTTACCCTGAGTTGAAGAACAAATTCTTCGCATTTTCCGTATTCAAACGCGATTTTATTAAATACTAAATTACCGATAAACACGGGAAGGTGTTCGCCGCACTTAACATCCTTCTTATACTTTCCCTAAACGTCAAAACTGGGTAAAGTGCATCGTCTAAGTGCACTATTAGGCAATGCAAGCACATCTTGCAGTAGAAAAACCAGGGAAAGCGACTCGATGAAAATTCCCGCATTTTTCAGACTTTTAACGAGGGATTCGTTATCACACGAAGGCCCTTCAGCGCTCTCGTGTTCATCTCTGGTACTCCGGCCTGTTTATTTTTTTTATCTTCTTTTTTTATTTTTCTGTCATGCACTGTAAAATGCAAAAAGGCTCTACGCTGGATGCGCTACTCGTGCGAGAGGAGAGAATAAAAAAATCGGATGCGTGTGTCCAGACAAGTAAAAAAAGAAACAGGCACGATGCCGCGGAGCGTGCAAATGAGAGATGTACCGGAAGTGTGCAAATCCATAGATATTAATTTACACGTTACTTATATGTATCATGTACAAAATGTAAAGACAGATAATATTAAACTGCTTGCGATTAGACTTTCTCTAAAGAATTATTTTGCCAATTTTTCAACATGAACCAGCCGTCAATCCCAAAGATTAACGAATTGTGCCTTTCGACCAAATTTTGTCACCTTTTCAAGATAAATCAATTAGTAACTTTTAACGCCATCGACTAAATTTTTCCCGAACAATTGACGGGCTAATGTCGATTTAACTTCGCGCGATTTTACAAGATGAATCGATCATCGACTCCAGGAAATTAGAAAAAAGATACTCAGGATTTGATATCATGTAAAGATCCATCGAATTATTTTGTACGATTTTACAAGTTGAATGACATATCAACTTCATAAAACTAAAAAAAAAAATGCTTATGACTCGATATTTTCTAAAGGATTGACCCGTTAAGGTCAATATAGCCATTTTGTATGATTCTGCTAGACGAGTGACTCCCCAAAAAATTTAAAAAAATTCTCATGCGATTTTTTAATATAAAATTGACGAATTAAGATCGATCCTGCTTTTTGGGTGATTTTGGAAGATGGATGCCAAAATTCCATTTTCAACTCACCGAGTTTAATTTTGATCCGTTAAGGTCAATACAGCCATTTTGCACGATTCTACAAGACGAGTGACCCCCAAAAAAATTTAAAAAAAAGTCTCATGCGATTTTTTAATATAAAATCGACGAATTAAGATCGATCCTGCCTTTTGGGTGATTTTGGAAGATGAATGCCAAAATTCCATTGCAACTCACCGAGTTGGGTTTTGACAGCCTGCAAGTAGCTGTCCTGTCTCTTCGCTTTGTTCCTCTTGGCATCCGCATCCTCCGGTTCCGTCTGCCAAGTATGTCTGGCAGCTCGACGAGAAGATCCATTGACAGCTTCCCAAGACTCTGCACTGTTACTGCGAGCCCTTAGGCGTACCGGTTCCGTTTCCATGGCGGGGGTTTCTATAGACAGAAATTCAGGGTCAGAGGTCATCGTCTCCAGAATCTCTCCGATCGGATCGATGGAGTCGATCGGGTGATCTGTCATCTTCTTATCGATGCAAAGCAACGGATGGACCGGGAAGGGATAGACTGGAAGGATCGGAATTTCGAAATGATTTATGTTAAAAATTTATAATGTAAATTTAATATAATGAAAATTATAATAAAAATTTATAATGTAAATTTAATATAATGTAAATTTTAATAAAAATTGATAATGTAACTTTCATACATTTTCGGCACACGAGGTTGAATTGAAATTGCACATTGAATACTAAATAAAATTACGAACGAGTGACGATTTTATTTTATCGGAAGTCTTTTAAAGTAGCCAATGACATTAAAGACTATGTATATATATCGTATAAGAGATAACTTTTATATTTATAAAGTGAGGGTATCGTGCCTTAATGAAATTCCCAATAAACTTTTCCTGAATTTATCATATTCTTTTTAACCATTTGGATCACATGGTTGAATTTAAAAAAATTTGATGGAAATTTGTCTCTTGGGACGAATCTTCGAAATGTAACAATTATTTTGTGATTTTTTTAATAAGAATCGCGGAGGAAGGAGGTGAAAATGGAAAATGGAACATTACAATAGGAAAATGGAATATTAGCGGATTTCAGGAAAGACTGTTCAACATTTTTATTAATCAGGTTTTTAAAAGATGTCGAGAGTTGTTCCAATGCTGTCTCGAGATCAGACGATTTCCTGTCTTGTTAATACATTTTTTGTTAGTATACTGTTCTACATGGAGCACATAGACGCACGTTAGCACATAATTACCACCACGTACACGCAGTAAGAGTGTAGAATTAGTCAAAGTGCGAATGAAGCATTTTTCGTTAAATTAACTACTGTTAATGCTATATTTGACTTAGTATAAATTGCGATCACAATAAATGTCTACATTTGTATGATCCTCCTTTAAATAAAATAACAATCGTTTCCATTATTTCGTACTTAAATCGTAATACAAAGGACAATATTTATATAAAATCCCCGAATTTTAAATTTGATTTACAAAACTACTTTGACAATCAATTTGACAAATTCGTAGAACCAGGTAATTCATTGTTAATATTTAAATTTTTTAATCAGTCTTTGCAGTACTCTGTTTTTATTCTATATCTTTCCTACCTTTCGTATAGAATGTATATAAATCGGATATAAAATGGATATAAAATACTAAGGCGATTCAGAATCGTTATTAATGCGCTTAATTTTCATTTAAATTCGAAGTGAAGCCGCCGATTTATATATTCATAATTTAAGTATAAGTCGTGACGTACTTTTGCGCTTGTAAAGCGAGTACATGTCAAAATTTGCGGAGTACACGTATACAGGATTAGAATTGCATTTTCATGAACCACGGAAAACATTTAGTAAAAAAAATCGTGATAAAAATTGTTCAAAATTAATTCGCTTAATTTTCATTTAAATTCAAAGCGAAGTTGCCGATTTATATATCCATAATTTGAGTATAAATCGTGACGTACTTTTGCGCTTGTAAAGCGAGTGCATGTCAAAATTTGCGGAGTACACGTACACAGATTTAGAATCGCATTTTCATTAACCACGGGAAACATTTAGAACAAAAAAAAAATTATGATAAAAATTGTTCACAATTCGCTTAATTTTCATTTAAATTCGAAGTGAAGCCGCCGATTTATATATTCATAATTTGAGTACAAGTCGTGACGTACTTTTGCGCTTGTAAAGCGAGTGCATGTCAAAATTTGCGGAGTACACATATACGTATTCATAATCGCTTTTCCATTTTCCACGGAAAATATTTATGAACAAAAAATCGTAATAAAAATTATCCACAATTAATGCGCCTTATTTTCATTTAAATTCGAAGTGAAGCCGCCGATTTATATATTCATAATTTGAGTACAAGTCGTGATGTACTTTTGCGCTTGTAAAGCTAGTGCGTGTCAAAATTTGCGGAGTACACATACACAGCTTTATATATTCATAATTTGAGTACGAGTCGTGACGTACTTTTGCGCTTGTAAAGCTAGTGCATGTCAAAATTTGCGGAGTACACATACACAGCGAAGCACACCCACAAAAGAGGAAAGACGTTGTTAGAGGCAGAGAGGAAGAACATAGGAGCATTCCTGAAAACCACTACCTTTGACTTCCCTATAGCCAGCCGGGGGTTCGCAGTGGATGTACTTGCTGCCTACGGGAATGATTCTGTTCCCAGACAATCCCCTACCTAAATCACAAGAATTTTGTAACATCCTGGATAAACGGAGGAGCGTCCAGGAATAGTCGTGAGATCGGAGTAAAAAGACCACCTAGAGTGGTTGCCACGACATCAGGGTTTCATTTTGCGACATCTTATGAATACCGAATTCAATCTCGAGATATGAAAATCCAAGAATAACCCTCTACAGCGTTTCTCCCGTTTAATTTTAGTTTGCATCCTGAGGTATTGCTAAAAAGTATATAGAAAATATTCGATGCACGGTATCTTCATTTTATGTCGTCTTATCACATATCTTTCAGCTATTATGAATACCGAATTCAATCTCGGGATATGAAAATCCAAGGATAACCTTCTATAGCGTTTCTCCCGTTTAATATTAGCTTACATTCTGAAGTATATAGGAAATGTTTTGTTTATTTAACGCTTTTTTATTTATCGTTCGAAATTACGTGGAGATCAGCTGGAAATCGTAAGCAGAAATCACTGCAAATAGGTGAAAATCAATAAAACACCGTCACAAATTTAAGGCCGAACGTCCCTTGTTATCGAATCGCACTGTTGTTTATCATATAAAATCAGAGGCAATCGGTTCTTTATGAATCAATTCGTTTTCATTTGCTATTGACTATTTGCTTCCATATTGAAAAACGAAGAGATTCGCCCACTAAAGTTTCCCTTCATTGCTGATAAGAAACGTTTTATCAACGAGAAAAATCACTCCTAGAACTCACGAATGAACTACAACCCTACTTCGGTACGTTTTGAAGCTTCCCTTCCAATCTGGCAAGTTTTATCGTTCATCGATCTTTAAATGGGGTTCTTATTAACTAATCTCGAATGGAATTGAATTTGCTGTTGACAATTCGCTATCATATTGAAAATGAAGAGATTCGGCCACTATAGTTTCGCTTCATTGCTGATAAGAAACGTTTTATCAACGAGAAAAATCACTCCTAGAACTCACGAATGAATTACAACCCTACTTCGGTACGTTTTGAAGCTTCCCTTCCCATCTGGCAAATTTTATCGTTCATCGGTCTTTAAATGGGGTTCTTATTAACTAATCTCGAATGGAATTGAATTTGCTGTTGACAATTCGCTACCATATTGAAAAACGAAGAGATTCGCCCACTAAAGTTTTCCTTCATTGCCGATACGAAACGTTTTATCAACGAGAATTAAGTGAGGTAGATATCCACCCCCGTTGCGAGTTAGGGGGTAGAAAGAACGACACCGAGGTCAATTATTAATAACGAGGACTCACCCGAATCGAGAGACTTGCTCTCCCTGTTGGCTTGGATCCTCCTGGGCTCCTGCGATTCAGCCTTGGACTCGAATTCCCTTTTCCTGACGGCGACGTTGGGGACGCTGCGCTTGCTGGACAACCTGGACAACTCGCTCTTGTAGAGGTTCGTCCTGTCGCTGGTGGGCTCGTCGTCGTCGCTGAGGAGTTTCCCAGATTCGAACTGCTTGGCGCGCCGAGAGACGATCTGCAGACCCTGAGGAGGAACGGGGAACTTGTCGGCGCTCTTCTTGTCGGGTCCAGGAGAAGAGGGCAAGGACGAGGTCCCGTTCCTGGGGTCCTGGCTCTGCTGAAGAGCCGCGGCAACGTTCTCGTGTATCCTGGACAAGGTGGTGACGAAGGCTGCCTTGTTGTTCGCCAGGTTCCTCGCGACGGCCTGCTTCATCTTCTCGGTCTTGTCCTGGCCGTCGAGCTTAGGATCCTCCTTAGGTCGGTCGTCCTCATAGAGACTCGAGTAGAACCTCTCCCTGGAGGTGAGGGAGTCCTCCGCGAAGGAATCGTTCTGGGTCTGGGTCTTTGGAGAAGGACCCTCCGAGTCCATCACCCTCTGCACGCTCTGGTTGGACGGCTTCGAGGACTTCGTCCTGTCGGTCCTCTGGGGCGAGGTCTGTCTTAGCCTGTCCTGTGCCTAGAGATAACAACGTCAAAGTATTGACATCTTTGCTTATTACTTGCATACGAAAGAAAGGGCCGATAAGTACTCGATATTGAAAAATTGACGTCCATAAAGCTAACAGCGCCACGTCAGCATAACCGCATAAATCATACACCAAAATTTATTGCTTTTTTATTGCTTATTTATTACACAAATTGGAATTTTATAGCTCCAGCCGTTTTAAAAAAATCAGTGGCTATGCCGGCTTTAACAGTAAGCTGGCAGCGCCACCTGACATTTTGTGTGAAATTAAAAAAATAAGTGGTGCAAAATGTAGGAAAAATTTATTGCTTATTTATTAATTGGCACGTAGATGCCATGCGTGTTAGAAGTGAAATTTAAGTTAGAGAGAATTATTTGATATCATTGATTGTTCTTAAGGTGATGTGAACGTGGCGTCAAAGAGGTATCGCTTATGAAACTTTTCTCCGAACTGGGTGTACCGAATCGTCTCAAACTTGACAATGTGAATATGAAGGCTATAAGGAAGGTCTTGAAACCCATGAAATTTCAATTTTAGGATAATTTGTTTATAGCTATTTTCAACAATTTAAATAACATATGAAATTTCGCAAGTTTCCCGCGAGCCCCGCGTACTTTATAAATGCCCATAGAGCAAATCTTAGTTGCCGCTAAACGTGATAGATGGCACCATCGGTCTATGTGTTTGTTTGTCTGTTTGTATGTTTGTCCATACCTGCGCCTGCTGGGCCTGTTCACTAGGCGGCCAGACCTGCCTCTGCAGCTTTTGGGGCCTGGCGTAGAACTCCCTCTGGATGACGCCCTGGCTCTGCGACCCCAGCAACGAGTCCTCCGGCAGGAGCCATCCGATGGGGTGGCTCGGCCTCCTCAGGAACTCCTCCTTCTGCTCGAAACTCTTCCTCAGCCTGTTCATGATAACCGAGTCATCCGAGCACTCGTTCCCCGTCAACGTGGAGTTGGAGTCGTAGGAGGAGAGGCTGTCCTTGCTGGCCGGGGAGGAGTCCCTTCTGGAGTCCATGCTCGTCCTGGAGCCCGGGTTGCTGGTCCTCAGGATGTCCACGCTCCCGAAGGAGGGGGCCTCCACCTCGGCAGCCATGCCGCTGCCCTCGCTGGCCCTTCGGCCCACGATCCTTCGTCCTGGCTGGTAAATTGGCACCTGCGGCTCCGCCCTGGACACGGGATAGCGGTCCAGACTCTCCCCCAGGTTCCCGTCCGGCCTCACGCGCTCGTAGATCGGATCTTTGATCCGGTCGTAGATCTGCTCCGAACTCGGCCGAGAGTAGATGGACTCTGGACGCGTCCTGTCGTACAGGTCGAACCTCTGACCGTCGGACGGTGGTCTGTGAAGTATTAAAAGTTAACGTAATTGCTGTTTACTTAAGAGCGCTCACCACTCCAGTGATTTTGCCCGGCCTCACGGAGACAACGATTCCGGACGTATTTTTAAACTGATCGAGCTCAACGAGTGCTCATGTTGAAGAAAAAATATCGACCTGTGCTTACGTGGGAGTAATTTTCGATAAGTGGTCATTTTCATATAAAAATGTAATACGACATAATTTCAATGATCTTTTAACTAGGAAGAAGGTGCTTCGTCGAAAGATGCTCCCATATAAACGCACGTCAACGTTTTACCTTTAAAACGAGCACTCGTTGAGCTGGGAACCAAAAAAAAGCGTATCGATTCAACCAAGTAATTTTCCGCGAGGGTATCATCTCGTCTTTTTATCAGTAGGGTTGAAGCGGAGGGAAGCAAAAAAAACGAATCGATTCAACCAAATTATTTTTTGCTAGGGTATTATCTTGCCTTTTTACCTGTAGAGTTGAGGCGTAGGTAACAAAAAAAAAAAAAAAGCGTATCGATTCCACCAAGTAATTTTCCGCGAAGGTATCTTCACGTCTTTTTATCAGTAGGGTTGAGGCGGAGGGAACCAAAAAAACGAATCGATTCAACCAAATTATTTTTTGCTAGGGTATTATCTTGCCTTTTTACCTGTAGAGTTGAGGCGTAGGTAACAAAAAAAAAAAAAAACGTATCGATTCCACCAAGTAATTTTCCGCGAAGGTATCTTCACGTCTTTTTATCAGTAGGGTTGAGGCGGAGGGAACCAAAAAAACGAATCGATTCAACCAAATTATTTTTTGCTAGGGTATCATCTCGTCTTTTTACCTGTAGGGTTGAGGCGGAGGGGACCCAAAAAAAGCGTATAGATTCAACCAAATAATTTTCCGCAAGGGTATCATCTCGTCTTTTTACCTGTAGGGTTGAGGCGTAGGGAACCAGAAAAAATTGTATCGATTCAACTAAATAATTTTCCGCAAGGGTATTATCTCGTCTTTTTACATGTAGGGTTGAGGCGGAGGGAACCAAAAAAAATCGTATCGATTCAACCAAATCATTTTCCGCAAGGGTATCATCTCGTCTTTTTACCGGTGGGGTTGAGGCGGAGGGAACCAAAAAAAAGCGTATCGGTTCAACCAAATAATTTTTTATAAGGGTATCTCTCGTCTTTTTATCTGTAGGGTTGAGGCGGAGGGAACCAAAAAAACGCGTATCGATTCAACTAAATAATTTTTTATAAGGGTATCTCTCGCCTTTTTACCTGTAGGGTTGAGGCGTAGGGTTCGGCAGGTCCCTTTGCCTGGACCTTTGTTCGTAGATCCCAGCTTCCTGGTTCCTGGCCTCGAGGGGCCTCCTCTGCACGTTCGCCAGCATCTTCCCGGCCTCCTTGTAGATGTCTTCCCGGGTCCTGAAGGTTCCCTGATTTTCGGAGCCCGGTGGTGGGGAGCAGACCCAGGATTGCCTGGTCCTCGGAGATGGTCCTGGGATCATGCTGCTGGACCGCCGCTGTTTCTGGGAGATCCTCTCGGGCGAACGCAGCCGGGGACGGGGATTCGTTTCTGGATTGTGCGCGGTCTCGCCGAAGTACTAAAAAGTGGTGGAACAAAAAAAGAAAGAAAAGAAAAACACGATTAGACTAAATCCTGCCTTTGCACGCAGAAAAATGATCCCCAGTCACGAACAACAATGTTACATGCTTCGGAAAATGTTAACACATTCGCGACCGCCGACGTGAATTCACGTCATTTTAAATTCTATTCCTGATTGTCGCTGACGTGAATCACGTCCATAACGATACACGATACAAGTTTGCGGCAACCAGTTTCAGAATTTCATTATTTTTGTCGGTACCTCGGTATTTGAAACGGCCAAAAATTAGCCGGTCGCGAATGTGTTAACGCTTGAAAATGGGCGAGGAAGATCTTTTTATCCAAATTTGTTTTGCGGGAATTTATTCATCAGCCCAATATAAGGGTCGTATGTCGGGTTATTATCGTGCAGGGTGGAGACTCACCCTTTGCAGGATGTCGTCCTCTTTGGAGACCACGAGCAATCTCAGCCAAGGTCCTGCCTGCTGAATGCGCTGCACCACGCTGGCGTATTGTTCCCCCCGAGTCGGAGCCCCGTCGACGGAAACCACTCTGTCTCCCGTCCTGAGTCCTGCTTCCGCGGCTGGCGAGTTCGCCCTCACCTGCTTCACGAAGATCGTGTCCATGGGCTCGTCGATCTTCGTCCTCTCGTGTCCTGGCAGCATCTGTTAGATAGGATCGCCCTCGATTTACTCTCTCCGTCGTTTTATTCACCCCCAATATCCATCTTTACTAAAGCGTCGTTTTCGTGTGTATACCCAGGCACCGCGGAACGTGGAATATCCGTATATTAATCGTATATAAATGTTTATTGAACGTATGTAGATATATATAGATATCTATGAACTCTATTTTAGATACACTCAAAGGCTAGATGTCCGGACATGGTACGTAATATATATAATTTTATTCAATTGAAATAAATATATTCAATGTTTTTTCCGTGTTCGAAACAAGGACAAGGAACCACAGCATCTGTTAGATAGGATCGCCCTCGATTTACTCTCTCCGTTGTTTTATTAACCCCCAATATCCATCTTTACTAAAGCGCCGTTTTCGTGTGTGTACCCAGGCACCGCGGAACGTGGAATATTCATATATTAATCGTATATAAATGTTTATTGAACGTATGTAGATATATAAAGATATCTATGAACTCTATTTTAAATACACTCAAAGGCTAGATGTCCGGACATGGTACGTAATATATATAAAATTTTATTCAACTGAAATAAACCTGTAATCCAGTTTGAGGCACGAACAAAATTAACAGGCTTATTGAAATGTTTCCGTGATGTACACGTTTGTTTCATGTTGAGTTTTGTTTGTGGCATTTTTTTTACAAAAATCAGAGCTGTTCAAAAAGAAACAAATTTCTAAATCATGGGAATTTGGACTTTGTTACTCCAATGGGTTCTCTGACGTTAGGAAAATTCAGAGTCTCCCAGAGCCTCAAAAACGTTAAAATGACAATTTTCAAGATTTTTTTCCACGACTTAGGCTTCTCGCAGGGGCTTGCATTAATTTGCACAAGTATATCACGGGGAGTACTTATTCTCAGAATTTTTGGGGACCGATAGTTGTCCTTGGCACTGAAAAAAATTAAAGACCTTAAAGACATTAAGAACTTCCTTTTCACTATTTTGAGGATTTTTTTTCTACGGCTCAAGGTTCCGGCAGTAGTGTGAGTTAATTTGTGGGCGTACCCTGGGGATAGTACTTGAACTCAGAATTTTATCAAACCGATAAGGGTTGGTCTTGATACAGCTAGGAAAATTCAGATCCTCCCAGAACCTCAAAAGCGTTAAAATGGTAATTTTCGGAATTTGTTTATTTTATTTTAACAGCTCTAGTTTTTGTTAAAGAAATGGCACAAATGTCTACATCACAGAAAGATTCCAATACGCCCCTTAATTTTCTTTGTGCCTCAAACTGGGCTCCAGGTTTACACAAACTTGGGCTTTTTGTATAAAAAATTGTATAAAATAAATAAAAAAATAAAAAACGGATTTATGCCAACCCTGAGTGAATAGCCCCTCGTTTCCGACGATTTCAAATCATTCTTGCTTGTGATTTCCAGCTGATTTGAATATGACTCCGAGGACTAAAATCCAGGATTTCCTGAGTGAATACCCTCTCGGTTCGTACGTCCTAAACCAGAAGGTAATTCAGGAGCAAGTACCTACTCTCAGTAACCTAGCATAAATTTAAAGCGAGTACAGTTCCTCTCTTAAAGGCGACCCTCGAGTTGCCGGAACCCACGTCCACGACAGCTCGAGCGGTTTAGGACTCGACTTCTGTTGGCGGTAATTCCGTTATTGTCTCCGAGGATCGATCCTCGTGGAATCCTAGCCGTATCGGATGGCCGGTTATATATCCGATAGAACTTACGCAGCAGGACTCGGGCGGATAGACGATGAAGTGACGCAGGGTGAAGCCGAAGCCATTTTCGCTGCGGCGGAGAAGCAGCGTACGAGGCCCTCGAGAGGGAGGCTCGCGTTGTTGGTTCCCGGAGGTCGGGGCCGGCGGGGGTGGCGAGGAGTGTCCTATCTGGAAAAGAAAGCAACCAAATGATTAGTACTTCTCCGATTAATTTTTTCCCTACGGCGGATCGGCTCGTAGAAGCGCTGCTTCGGTACGGGGTAATCCCGACGAAGACGCCCTTAACCCTTCAGCTACTAATGGCGCCTATAGGTGCCCGACGTTTGGGTTAATATTGCCTGCACGGTCAGACGAATTCCGCCCATATGTCGAAATGGCTCCGTGTCCAAAGGGTTAAATTTCACGGCCGAGAGAACGTATTCTTTCGCGTCTAGGGACGTGAGGTAAATTGTTAACGCTTTATATAAATTGCAAAAACTAATGCATAACGGAGGGGAGTGTCCTATCTGGAAATAAAGGCACCAAATGATCAGTACATCCCCGATTAACGTTTTTCCTATGGCGAATCGGCTCCTAGAAGCGCTGCCTCGGTACGGGGCAATCCCTACGACGACGCCCTTAACCCTTTAGCTACTAATGGCGCCTATAGGTGCTCGACGTTTGGGTTAATATTGCCTGCACGGTCAGACGAATTTCGCCCATATGTCGAAATGGCTCCGTGTCCAAAGGGTTACATTCCTCGGCCGAGAGAACGTATTCTTTAACGTCTAGGGACGTGAGGTCAATTGTTAACGATTTATATAATTTGCAAAAAACTCATGCATAACGGAGGGGAGTGTCCTATCTGGAAATAAAGGCACCAAATGATCAGTACTTTCCCGATTAACCTTTTTCCTATGGCGAATCGGCTCCTAGAAGCGCTGCCTCGGTACGGGGCAATCCCTACGACGACGCCCTTAACCCTTTAGCTACTAAGAGCGCCTATAGGTGCCCGACGTTTGGGTTAATATTGCCTGCACGGTCAGACGAATTTCGCCCATACGTCGAAATGGCTCCGTGTCCAAAGGGTTAAATTTCACAACCGAGAGAACGTATCCTTTAACGCCTAGAGACGTGAGGTCAATTATTAACGCTTTATTTAAATTGCAAAAAACTAATGCATAACGGATAAAGGATAAGTTTATTTATAATCCAAATTGAAAATATAATTTAATAATGTAACTTCGTATGAAAAGGTTCTAAGTACGGGTATACCCAAAGTCCTACGTCACATGTCTTACATTGGTAATGCGTTTGTCGTTACACCCCATTTTTAACACATTCGCGACCGCTGACGTGAACTCACGTCTTATCAAGTTCTATTCCTGATTGCCGAAAAATGAAATTTCACGGGCAGTGCGTTCTTCCTCAGAGCCTCCGTAATCACTTGTTAATGTTTTAGGTAATTTGGTGCACCTAATTTGGAAAAATGTTTTATAAATATTTTCACTTTTCTTATGTATATATCACAGTTTGATATCACCTTAAGAAATGGAAACGATAAAGTGTAACCTCTTGAAACATTTCCCCCGCTGGTAATTGTTTAAATCTCTTTGGGGTCTGTGAACATTTAAACCAGTCCCTCGAATTATACTTGATAAATTTTACAGTTTGAAATTTCGAAACCATCTCTGAGGGGGGTCACAACATGGAGAAAGAAGTGACCTCAGAAGTGCAGTTGCAGCTGCAAAGGTTACGAGCTCTTTCGACGTCGTGACCCTGAAGACATCCTCGTTATACGACGAGCTACTCGGAACGCGTAACGGCAACCACAACGGTTCCGTTCTTTCTTGTTCGGGTCAAAAAGAGAAAAAGAAAAAAAAAGACAATGGAAAAGTTCCCTTCAGACACTGTCCCATGACGCGAAGTTTTATTTACGCGCCGGAATAAATTTATCATTTATTTATCGGTCGGGTAAAATTCCACCCTTGTGACATCTTGTCGCGAGATTAGTAAGGGCCAGTTTTGTTTATAAATCTTGTAACGAATAAGGAAATAATTAAATTGTTACGAGGAAATGAGAAAAGAAAAAGCTCCCTTCGGGCTTCCACGGCGTGGAGGTTTATTTATAAGACGGAATATATTTATTATTTAACCGGTGGGTTAATTCCACCCTTGTGATATCTTGTCGGGAGATTGGTTAGGGAAAAAGTTTTTTATAAATGTTGTAACGAATGTAGAAATAAATTGTCATAAGTAAATAAGAAATGAACCTTCAGACTTCCATCCCACGGTGCGGAGTTTTATTTATCCGGAATTATTTTTGTTTATTTGTGTGTTGAGTAAATCCAACCCTTGTGACTTCTTCTTGTGAAACTTGCAAATGACGAAGTTCTTTACAAATTTAACAGGCGAGAAAAAAATTAAATTGTTAAATGTAATGATGTGAAGGAGAGGTCGTGAAAAAGAAGAGGGGGGCTGATAATAACAGAAATTGCTTGTTTAATTCGTTCATTCCCTCGTAATAATTATAATTGTAATATGTAGCCTGGATGTGTAACCTAACTTTTATTATTAAACGAAGAACTTTTATTTTACAATCGTTGTTAAGTATTCAGTTTCCTGAAGGGGATTTGGAATGATAAGAAATTTTTATCTAAGAGTTGAATGCACATTTCTGCAATGTAAAATATAATTATATGACTATTTTTCCGAACTTCGTTCCATAAGATCTTAAATCATTCCCCATTTAATAAACGATGACAGCTCGATGAAGCACCAACCAAAATAAACATTCATCAAATGGTTTACTGTTTTATTTTTCAATCTCGTTTGCCTACCAATTGTCTCAGTAATTAAAGATAACTACTTAATCAGCTACTAGTGAGACGTTAATAGCGAGGAAATTAGTTTAAGTACGCCTTTCTTAAATGTTTTATTTTTCAGCTTCACTCGTGTACCAATCGATGATTAGAGATAACTACTTAATCAGCAATAGGTAAGACATTGATAGCAACTTGATTAGTTGTAATAAAAACTTCACTATTGCCCAAAATGGGCGTCAGGTATTTTATTTTCCAGATTTACTCGTATACCGATTGCGTCGATAATTATAGATAACTTTGTCATTAATCATTAATGGTATCATAACTAATCACGTCGTAAGTCTCTAGTAATATGCGAATAATAATAAAATTAAATGAAATAGTTATTAAGTATTGACTAAAATAAGCGTCGAGTATTATATTTTATCCATTTCACGGGACAATTTAAAAAAATAATTAATGAATTTCTAATTTGGTATAAATAGTAATAGAACTAGTTAAAGTGAATGTCGTGTCGGCTTAAATAAATGTTAACTATTTTATTTATCAGCTTCCCTAGCATACCGATCACGTCGATAATTATCGATAATTTTATCATACATCGTTAATAATGTATAAATAGTTATTAAAACCCATTGGAATGATTTTTAAACGTGTTCGAAATAAGCGTGATATATTTTATTTATCAGTTTCACTTCGAATACCAATCGATAATTAAGGATAACCGCTTCATTACTCGTTAGTAGGAGGTTAACAGTAATGAGATCAGTTGAAATAAGGTGCAATGCATATAAAATGCATTCAGGGTCATTTCTGGCAACGCCTTGACCACGCCATTCACCATGCCTCCTCGATCAGACCGCGTACAAGAATCCTTATCAAACGAGCCTTCGTGCGTTATCACTTCTACTATATCTAGAAAATGTGCCTTCATCTCAGGTCAAATACCAGATAAAATGAATACCGATTTATTTAAAGTATACCGTTAAAAAAAAAACTAGTAAATTATGATCTTCAGACTTTCCAGATAGAAATTCATGATCATGATACGATGAGGAAAATATATTTACAAACAATTTGCAGACCATTTGCTGCGAGAAATGTCTGAAATATATGTACGCATATTTAAATAGACGAAATCTCACTTTTCACCTACACTGAATGTAATGAATACCGATTAACTTAAATAAAATAAGTCTCGCTTTCACTTGAAGTACCATAAATTAAAACTCGACGAGCGATTTCGACGAGTTAACCAAATTTTCCACTGTTACTAATTACTTAATCAAGCTCTTATTTTACAATCATAATTAACGGTGCAGCATATTTTATTCATAACTAAAAAGGATTTGTGATTTCAGTCGAGACTTGGGACAAAATGGTTATTCGCGATAGCTTAATTTTTTTTTGTGTGGGGACAGATGTGTAATTTGAGGGAAGTGCTGATTTGGATGACTGAAAAGCGTAGTTTATTCATAACTAAAAAGAAGAAATATTGCAGCAAAGTGTGCATCATTTGTGATTTTAGTCGAGACCTGGGACAAAATGGTCTTCGCGGTGGTTTAATTTTTTTTTGTGTGGGAGAGAAATGTGTAATTTGAGGGAAGTGCTGATTTGGATAACTGAAAAGCATAGTTTGTTCATAACTAAAAAGGAGAAATATTGCAGCAAAGTGGATCATTTCTAATTTCGGTCGAGACCTAGGACGAGATGGTTATTCGCGGTGGTTTAATTTTTTTTTTGTGTGGGAGAGAAATGTGTAATTTGAGGAAAGTGGTGATTTGGATGACTGAAAAGCGTAGTTTATTCATAACTAAAAAGGAGAAATATTGCAGCAAAGTGTGGATCATTTGTGATTTCAGTCGAGACCTGGGACGAAATGGTCTTCGCGGTGGTTTAATTTTTTTTTTGTGTGGGGACAGATGTGTAATTTGAGGGAAGTGTTGATTTGGATGACTGAAAAGGCGAGGTTGACGAGGTCGGAAGAACCTTCGGTAAATTTGAGGAGAGTCAGGTTCGGATGGGTCGAGTGCACTTGCAAACGGCCTTAATTGTCCGCTTCATTGCCTAGGTTAACTCTCGTTACGGGAGAACGTAATGCAGTGGGTGATTTTAGCCGATCTATAACGGCACGTACTCGTTCCGACACCGGTTGGGAGCAGGCAAATCACGGCCGGTTTCCGCTCTCGTTTCAACGGAGACTGGGAATTAACAGAGATCGATAAATCCCGATCGTTATGAGAAATTCTTAAAACAAGGAAGTTTTCGAAGTAATCCATCAAGTACCTATTATTTGCTTTTACGTATGTACGTATTTTTGTAGAGTGGGCAGTGGAGGAACTGGTTCGATTGCAATCCATGCTATTAACT